GCCAACGAAGCTTCCCAAAGACTACAGGCTGACTCAAGGCCAGAGACATCTGGTAGCTTTGGGGGACTTCCAGTCCACTTTGTGGCTGTCTAGGCTTCCTTTTTCATTTGCTAATCGGGATTTGGTCATCAACCATGTCTATGCAAAATATATATATATATATATATACATACATACATACACATATACATGTGTGTATATATATATATACACATATACATGTGTGTGTATTTATATATATATATATATATCACATATATATAGGAAAAGGGAATAAGAGAATGCCTCCCTTTGTGAATTTTCAAGTCTGAAGACCGTCCCCTCCACTTGCCATTGGCAACAGCTCTTCCCCAAGTATGAATCCAGCTGAAATGGCACATAATCACTTCTCATACTCAGAAGCGGGTTCTTTCTCCCCATCCTCAAGGACGATCAATACCTATTGTCCACACGGACAGATTTAGGCTGATCTGGCCAATGGCCAGCATCTCTGAGCCGAGAGCATTGGGGCCTTTGAGACTGGCTCTCCCCTAGGGGAAGCCGGCAGTGCTAGGACCTACACGGACTTCTTCAATAACCTCATAGGACTTTACACTATGATAATACTAATAATAAACAGTAGTTAGCATTGATAGAGTGCTTGAAGGTGCTATATTATCTGATTTAATTCTCACAACCATCTTGTGAGATAGGTACTACTTTTATCATTCCCAAAGTGCAGATAAGGAAACTGAGGCAAATAGAGGTTAAATGACTCGCCCAGGGTCATCCAGCTAGCAAGTGTCTGAGGTTAGATTTTAATTCAGGTCTTCCTCGCTTCAGGCCCACCTCCCTTTCCACCACGCCCCCTCGCTGCCTCTGAAAGAAAGGCTGCTAACAATTTAGAATTTTCTAGTTCTTATGGGATGTTAATTATTCTTATCAAAGAGAAACACAGAAATGTGTTTTTCAAGACTTTGTAGAAACACATGATATAATATAATATAATATAATACAGTATGATGTATAGAAATCCTTTCTAAACTTTTTAAACTCCTGCCTTCTTATGTAGCATATCTGTTCCTCTGGACTCCATTCTCTCCCCCAGATGCTTCACATTTTAGAGTCTACCCATGGCCTCACTGGACACCTTCCAGATTTCAAATAAATCACCAGCTCCTCTGATGGCGAAGTGGTGAGGGGAGAGGGGACACATGGAGGTCCTGGGTTCTTGACTTAAGTAAAGGTCTGGCTGAACATTCCAGGGCCGTAGGATAGAGAGCTGGGGAGATCTCAGACCACAGTCCACAGATGAAGAAACTGAGGCACGCGATGGAAATTACTTAGAATCCTAGCTATAGGACTGAGACCTCAGAGGGCCAACCCTTATTTCACAGGCAAGGTTTAGAAGAGATTCATCCAAAGCAAGATGGGGAGGAAGTGCCAGAGCTGGGATTCAAACCAAAGTCCTCTGGCTTCAGAGCCCTGCCCCTGAGTAATAGTGATAATAATAATAATAAAAATAATAGCCTTGACATAGAGCTTGTCTTTTCTTGGAAGGTTTACAAAGCACTTTATGAAAAGAGTTAACTTATTTGGTCCTTACAACAACCCTGGGAAGTAGGTGCTATTATTATTCCCATTTTACAGATGAGGAAACTGAGGCAGGCAGAGGTTTAGTGACTTACCCAGGGCTACACAGCTAGCAAGGGTCTGAGGCCAGTTTTGAATTCAGGTCTTCTTGACTCTTTCATCATAATTACCCTGTGCAGGTGGTAATAATGCAGGTATTAGCAGGCCCATTTTTTTTTTTTTTTGTAAGGCAGTTGAGGTTAAGTGATTTGCCCAAGGTCACACAGCTAGTACTTGTCAAGTGTTTGGTCTGAGGCCGGATTTGAACTCAGGTCCTCCTGACTTCAGGGCCGGTGCTCTATCCATTGCGCCACCTAGCTGCCCCCAGGCCCATTTTATAGATGAGGAAACTGAGGCTCAGAAAGGTGATATCACGGCCCAACAGCTCATAAGTGTCACAGCTAGGATTGGAACCCAGGTCTTCTGATTCCAAGTCCAGTGCTCTTTCAATTTTATACTTTAATTTGGCAAGGGCCTTATGGATGATCATTAGAACCCCTGGGTCACAATATGGGTCAGGAAGGAAACGCAAATACCACTATGCTTGTAACCCCATGATAGTACAACACATATACACCTCAAAGTCCTGGTACTGTTGATCTTTGTAAGGCTTAACCTGGTCTTCTTAATATGCGTTTCACCTAAAGTGATCAGGTTCTCAATTTGTTATGCATGAAAGGGGAGAGTCTGACATTCTCTGGAATCTGAAACCTCCTCTACAGCCAGTGGAGAGGAACTGCTGGGGAAGTACCAGCTTTCTTTCCCACCCCCTCTAGAGTATGGGGAAGCCCAGCCATGGCTAGTGAAGGAGGGAGGCAGGGGCAAGCTATGGCAAGCTGCTGGCCCTTGCTTTCGTGCTACCACCACTAAAAACAAAACTGCTCGACAGTGATGACGGTGACGTGAGTGGGTCATGACAGAAAGTGGCCTCGAACCATGAGATAATCTTGGAACTGGAAACGCCCTCAGAACTCCTCCAGTCCAACCATATCACAAGAAGAGGAGAAAAATTCCCTCTTCCAATATGATTGTAACCTACAGTGAGGCTTCTTCTTCTCCATCCAGGGCCACAAAGAACCCACCGCAGAAGGGCCCCAGGCCGTCTACTCCGTTTTTCCTTCCCCTAGAATAAAGTCATGTCTCTCCAGAAAAGTGACAAGGTAAAAAATGAAAGGTTCCCATGATCTTTGACCAGGGGTCACTGGAAGCCACAGATTCCAGGATCCTAGGATTTAGACCTGGAAGGGACCTTGAACAGCATCCAGCCCCACCCCCACATTTAAAGAGGAGCCCCAAGCATCCCCAGGCATCCAGACCTGCTGTGTGTTTGTACCCAACTTGGAGTACCATGTGATTCCCAAACATAGCAACAGAAGAGGGGGTCTTAAATCTCTTCCACACCCCTACAAACAGCTAGAACTCCCCAGCCCAACAGCCCTTCTCCTCGGCTTTTCATCACAAAATGTTGCCTTTGTCTGAAAGCCCAGATGTGCCCCAGCACCTCACCAGGCATTAGTGGGAAAGAGGAAGAGGAGCAGGTATGGTTCCAAAGCTTGGGGTAGGTCTGAGGGGTTGGGGGCCAGTGCTTGAAAAAACGTGGCGCAGTGGATAGAGCACCGGCCCTGGAATCAAGAGGACCTGAGTTCAAATCCAGCCTCAGACACTTGACACTGACTAGCTGTGTGACCCTGGGCATGTCACTTAACTCCAATTGCCCCACCCAAAAGAAGAAAAAAAAAAAAAAGAACATGCCCCAAATCACACAAGGGGCCACTGGGTTACCCTAGACACAAAAGGAGCCCCCACACCCATATAAGGCATGAATGTCCATGGTTTAATTTTGAATCTATCATAACAATAGCTGGCATTCATAGACAGCTTTAAGGTTTGCTAAGTACTTTCTACAAATGTTATCTTACTTGATCCTCAAAACAACCCTGAGAGTTGGTGCTGTTATTATCCCCATTTTACAGATGAGGAAACTGAGGCAGGCAGCAGTTAAGTGACTTGCCCAAGGTCAGTCAGCTAGTAAGTATCTGAGGCTGGATTTGAATTCGGGGCTGCCTGATTTCCAGTGCTTTAGCCACTGAGCCACCACAGGTGCTGCAAGGGGGGAATCAAACCTTCCTTCCTCCCTGGAGACACCAACATACCACCGCTATTTTGTCCTGTGGTTTTCTGTCTCCCCCAGTGTGCCTAGGACAGTGGTGGGAACATACCAATAATTCAATAAATAGATACTTCTTAAACTGAGCTTGAGAGGCAGTGTGGCCTAGTGGGGGCCAAGGCGGCCTCACAGCCAGTCTCTGGCACACACAGGCATTCTCATTGTGTCCATCTCATAGACGAGGGAGTAGAATTTAGAGAGGCCAGTGGTTTGTCTAAGCACAAGCAAGCCTTTCGAGCCGGGCCTCAGATCCAGGCCTCCTGACTCCCAACGTGCTCTCCTCCCCTGGACACACAGATCCCCAAGCTGCTGTTATTAATATGAAGCCTTGAGCAAGTCCCCTCCCCTGCTAGTCTGACTTCTCTTTAATCCCCAGAAATCCTCAGAAGAACCCTGTGCACACAGCACCACCTCGTCGGCATTTTTTACATGATGACGTCTGTGTGAACTATTGCACAATGCCAAAGAATGCAGGAAGCACCTGTCTGGGCCCTGGGGGTGATACAAGACCTGCCCTCATGGACCCTCCCATCAATAAGGTCGAAGAGACACCAAGACAGACGCTAGGATTAAAGAAGGCGAGGGGAAAGGATGTTATGTAGGGGACAGCCTGACCTGTCTGTCCATTTGGTCTCTTCCCCCTACCTGCCACCAAATAAGTTTTGTGTATGATTATAATAATAGTTGGCATTCATACAGCACTATTGGGTTTACAGAGTCCTTTCCAATCATCTCATCTGAGCCTCACAACGTTATACCCATTTTACAGATGAGGAAGCTGAGGCAGAGAGAGGTGAGGCAACTTGCCAGGGGTCAAATGATTAGTAAATGTCTGAGGCCCGATTTGAGTTCGGGGCTTCCCGGCTACAAGGCTGGCACCCCAGCACACAACATCGCACCACCTAGCTGCACATTCTTCACTGTGGGAACAGAAATCATTCTAAGCCCAAGCAAATAAAAAGATGGCCTTAGAAATGGCTAACACAAGGTCATCCTTGTTTCAGCCACTCTCTACTAGGCAGTCCTCAGTGCCTACAGGCACAGACCATGGAAATTCTGCACTCCTGCGGGCTGTCACCTCCGAAGAGAAAAAGGGCAGAGCACATACCCCTCCCCCGCCACGAGAGGGACCCCAAGCCCAAATCTACTGTCCAGCTGTCACACCACCCCTCCCCTCCCAAGCAGAAATGGTCCCGGAGCGCATCCTCCCAAGGTGAATTACCTTCGGGCGGGCTACGCCCCCACCGATGAAAGCCTGGTTTCAGACCTCGCTGGCATTTCCTTCCCAGGGTTGAGGGAGAGCTCGGGTATCCTCCGTTTCCACCCTATCAGACTTCATTCCTGCAGGTTAAGGACAACAGAAGAGATTCATTCAGGTGTAGAAAATGATTTCTGAAAGCCCTCTCCAATTAGACATTCCAAGGCTCAAGATGAATTCGTTGATCCATAGCACGCCAGCGAGAAGATGCTGTCTGTCTCTTTTGGAGACAAGACAGATCCCTTAAGACTCTGGCCTCTGCTGCTTTTTGCACCTCCCCAAGTGCCTGGAACCGGGCTGCCCGAGGACGACTTGTTCCTAGATGAACCTCTCGCCCATGTCTTTGCAAGGGGGCAAGGGAGGAAAGGAAGCGCAGGCAAAGCCCTTCTAACTTTAGTCTCTGGCTCCTGGAGAAGGAGAATGATTTGGAAACGCGCTGCCTGAGAGTTATAAAGAGACGGATGCTCTTTCCACTCAGCGAGGTCAGTTGGTGCCCATGACCCGGGCCTCTTCCTACCTTGCCCAGAACCACAGGCCTCCAGTCCCAGAGAAGAAGGCAGCCGGATCAGAGCACCTGCTTCCCTTCCCCCGCTGAAGAAGAGGCAGGCAGGCCTCGTTCCTTCTGTCTGTATTGACTGGTATTTGCGTATGTGTCCGTGAGAGAGAAAGAAAGCACAGCACAGGGACGAGTGAAAGGGGGAGGTGAGAGAGAATGTGTGTTACCAAAATATCTTGAGACCAGTTCTTGGAAACATGCAGCCAGCCTGCTCAGCTCTCTCAAGCACTCACTTCCTGTGAAATACACCAAGACGTTTTCATCTTTCCACCAAAAGAAAGGAAAATGCAAACAGATTGAGCCCCGTCTCCTGGGAACAGAGATCCCTGACTTTTTTCTTGCTGCTTTTGGCTCGTAGGCATCTTAACAGGAGAGCAAAATTAATTAATGAACCTGGTGGAGAATAATTATTCGAGTCTCCCAAGGTGAGATGGATATCTACATAGACACACATACACTTCATGATCCGTCTAAGACATAGGCTATAAAGCTAGTGAGGTCTATGTAATCGTCCTGAGCAAATCCCAAGCCTCTTTGCCCCTGCAATGACTGGCTGGCCTGAAAAAAGTTTTGGAAAAACAAGCCAAGTAAGTTAGCTCAACAAACACCTACTGTGTAGCAAGGACAAGCAGAGAGTGTGCACACAAGGGCAAAGACAGTCCCTGCCCTCCATAGAAACCACAGCCAACCCATCCTCACGCAGGTATGGGTGTCTCTAGAAAGAGATAGACACACCTGTATGACCTTTGCCTTCAAAGCCTATTGAAACCCAGCAGTTTGGCATCTGGATAAGAAATCATTTGTCGTATTTCTGGGCTCACACTTCAATGAGGAGCAAAGAGAAGAGTGCCAGAGCAAACGAGTGACGGGCATGGGATTCCTCAAACTGAAGGGCGTGGGCCCGGCCAGCGGTCGACGGGGCGGCCGGCGTCGGCGGCCCAATCTCGCCATCGTCGTCCACGGAGCAATTCACCACGTGCCCCTTTTCATCCAGAGCGTTCCCTCGTTTGGTAGCGAGCGCCCTGAAAGCCATGCTCGAGGCAGCTCACTCCTACAAGAAGCTGCTGGCACCGAGTAACTCAAGGCCATTTTGAAATGGGCACATGTCCCCTGGGCGGCACAGCTCAAACCTTCTCAGGGCTATGACGGCTAGGGTGCCTTAGAAACAGAGTTTAGAATTTCAGGGCTAGGTGGGGCCTTAAATCATCTCTCACTCCCTCTCTCACTTAATAGGTGAGGAAATTTGAGGCAAGAGAGATTCAGCAAGTCTCCCAAAGACCCACATCACTTGACTTCCTCTCCAGCACAATGCTCTTTCTAACGTGTTTGTAAAAGACTCAACAGGTTTTTCACCTATTTTCATTCCTCTCCATTTCTTCATGTATTATTTAAATAAAAACTCTGCAACATCAAGATTTCAAATTTAAATGGCCAATGAGGTAATATTTGAAAATATGTGCTATTTGATAATATTTGTGCTTAGCACAGTGCCAGTCTGGCACGCAGTAGGCCGGTGATAGCTCCCCACCCCACCCCCCAGAAAAAACCTGGAAACTAAGTGGTTTACAACAGGAACTTGTCTGCTTTTGAAGTTTAAGCTCTATCACCACAAGAAGTCTAATAAATAAGCTAAGGCACTACTCTTGTGAGAGGCAGTGTGGGCCAGTAGTTAGAGTTGGCTTGGCTGACAGGAAGACCTGAATTCAAGTCCCGGCCTCCGACATATCCTGGCTGGGTGACCTTGGGGGAGGGGCCGCTTCTCGGTGCCCCAGGCCCCTCTCTAGAGGGCTTGGTGCAGAGGAGGCTTCAGTTTGCATCTGTGGATGCCTCACTGTGTGACCTCCCCATATCAATTACATCACAGGGCTGACTGGAATAAAAAGCAAAACACAGCTACCATCTCTGGGATTTCTGTGTGTGAAATGCTGGCATCGAAAGAGCCTTTTATGTTAACAAAATCGTCCATGAAAGATAACTTTGAAATACCTATTCCTGGGGTCCAGGGGTGTGGGGACAGATTTCAGGGGGTCAGTGAACTTGGGTGGGACAAAAATCACATCTTTTATTTCAATATTTATTTATTTCAACACAATTTATTTCAATGTCCCAAAAGTTTTAGTGCAGCTTCAGACTATAAAAGCTTTAGCATTTAGTAAAATTAGAGAAATATTTAGTAATATTAAAGCTTTAATAGCTGGAAAGTACACGAACACTTTTCTGGTTCCCTGTGTATTTTATTTTATGTATTTAAAAACACTGCTCTGAGAAGGAGCCCACAGTTTTCGCCAGATTGACAAGGGAGACCCTCACATGCACAGAAGGTGATGAGCCCCTGCCAAGGTCCAGCCCTCTCATCTTAAAGATGAAGAGGAAATGAGAGCTGGGGTTGGAATTTGCCGCAAGTTACAGAGTCAGCCAGGGACAGGCAGGGAGAGAATCCAGGCTCCCTCCCTCCGGGTCCAGTGCAAAGGTTTCTATTTCAAGTTGAACCAGCAGGCCAGGCATTCAGCCAAGGCAGAGTGTCTAGCACGCTAAAGAAACCCGGCCAATTGATTTCTCAATTCACACCTAATTTTCTCAGACCCACGAGCGTCCTCCTTCCACCTTCTTGGCACTGGATTTCCAGGCCAGTTCTGGACCAGGATTTCATGCTTGCTAACTAGGGTTCCTGGCTTCCACGAGAGAATCACCGTCATGTGGCCTTTCCTTTGATGAGCCCACATCCACCGGAGCAGCAGGTGATGGTGGTGGGGAGCAGAGACAGGAAACTGTCTCATATCTTCACGGAGGCTTGAAGGAAATCATTAAGGGCAGGCTTGCTGCAAAGCCAAGGGAAAGAAAGACAGAGAATTCCTGCGCCTCAGGTCCCCCCTCCGTAGGCACTTAGGAGGAGGGGTTCACCTATTTGGGTTTTCCTGGCTTCACTATTTTCAGTTTTAAAATGTTTAGGGTTCAGCTCTATTGAAGTAATTGGCAGCCACAATTGTAAAAATGGTTTTAAAGGGGGTGTTTGCTCTTACCTCCCGATTTGGACTTTTTCCTACTATAATCACAAGTAAATTGGCTTTTCCAAAAGGGGAAAAAAAAATCCTGGCTGGTACAACTTGAGAACATGAAAGCACATCAGAAATGTTACCTTGATATGTAACTTACAGAATGAAATTCAAAAACAAAGTAAGGTCCCAAAATAAAGAGGGTTACCTTGTAAGGTAGTGAGTTCCCCATCACTGGAAGTGTTCAAGCAGAGGCTGCTGCAGAAGGGATTCATCCAGTGGGCAGGTGCTTGGGGCCAGATGAATTCTAAGGGGACTTAAAACCCCAGGATCCTAGGCTTTCCTGAAAACGTGCAGCAATAATACCACAACACTAACTAGCTTAAATGCCTTCCTTGCCTTTTGACTTCCCCATTTCCAGGATTCGCTCCTTCTGGAGCTTAGCCCAGGGGAGCAGTGAAAGACTCGAGGCTCTGATCTGGAGATGGCACACAGCCCTCCACATCAGATAAGCCCAAAGGAAAAGGCAAAGAGCTGAAGGAAGCAGGTTTGGGGACAGTGTAGGTGGTAGGTTTTCTTATGAATAAGTGTTGAGCCATGGAGTCATGCTGAACTGACAAGTGAGTGATTGGGGGAGTGGGGAGGGGGAGAGGGAAATAAAACCAAGCTCCTGACCCTCTGCGTCCTTTCCAGAAGGCTAATGAGGCTCAGCTCATTAAGTCAGCCAAACTCTAACAGAAGAAATTCAAGATTCGTTTCAAACTGAAGAAATTGGCCAACCTGCAAAGGATTCTGGGAAGCAGGATTTTAAACACTCGTTGGTCTATTTCCATGCTTACTGGGGGTACGTCAGCTTGGATGAAACTTGCTTCCCCCAAGCCCCCACTGCATCCAAGGTTTTGAGGGCAGCAGGCTTATCCAGGTTGCATTTAGGAGACAAAGACAAGTCTTCTTCCCATGTAAAGATCACGGGTTCTGGGTTCTGGGACTGAAGAGGAGAGGGGAGGACTTGACAATAGAAAGAAAGCTGAGTGTCTGCCACCCAAAAAGAGGGAAGCTGCCACCGGGGTCTTCCAAAGCCAGGCTAAAGCTTCTAGAATCACCCATCCAGGTGCAGGGAAGGGCAGCACGCTTGGCCAAGAAACCCCAACATTCACACTGCAGGACATGGTGAGAAACCAGGCTCCATTTTCACAAATGACAAAAGAACTGTCTTAAACTGTAGCAGGGAGGGTTTGGGGCAGAGACGTTACAAGCACAGTGGGGAGCACAGCCTCTCCTTCCATCCAGTCTCTCTCTGTTTGCCAAGATACCCATCTGTCTGCGTGGCATAGGTGCCCCTTGAAGACACACAGCAACATAGCCTTCATCAACTTCCAAGCTTTGGTTCTGGGGCAATCAGCAAAAGCCCCCCCCCCCCCAAGAGCATGAACTATCCTTGTAGCCGCCATCTGGTCAGGAGGGGCCTTAAGCAATGGGTCTCAGAGCAGTTTGGGGGGGCCTCCAGGTGGTCAGAGGACAATAGGATTTAGAGCCAGAAGGGCCTTAGGGGGTCCTCTTCTCCAACTCCAAGTTGGGGGTGAACCGAGCTCAGAGAAGGAAACAGCTTGAGCAGGGTCACACAGCCAGGAGGTCAGGCTGCGAGAGGAGGGAGCTCAGTTCAGCCACCCCCAAGTCTGCTTCTATTTCCAGTTCCACCCTGCTGCTTTAGGAATTTATGAATGGCTCTAAAATACAAGGGAGGGTCTTTTTATAGACTGCTTCCAATTGCAGGGTTAAATCTCTACTGAAATAGAATTTTAAAAGAATATTTAAAGAATAACCATAAGCAGGTGTTATTTGCCAAATAAAAATGCCTTAAATTTTTTTTTCTACATAGCAATGTGGATGGGGTAGGTGATCTTTCCGGCCTTAGGACCCCCAAGGTGGTCTATGAACCCCCAACTTTGAGCACCAACATCTAGACCTGAAAACTCCTGCGAGCCAGCATCAGGTGTCTTAGCTGGAGCCAGGACATCACCCCGAAAAAACATAAACTTCTTTCTTTTTCATTTCAAACAGCACCAGTGACACCAAGCAATGGCTTACTGTTCGTTTGGTTGACAAAGCACAGTTTTCACAACCATCTCTTGAGGAGGTGGCTTCAAGTACTGGCGTCCCCATTTTAGAGATGAGAAAACTGAGGCTGAGGGCGGTGCAACAGCTTGCCGGTGGCCACACAGCTGGGAGGTGGCAGAGGACTGCGGTCCCGTGCGCTTCCCATTACACCACCCTGCCTGGCCACAGAAGGGCCAACACATTGGTCTAACAACTCGAAAGACTCTAGAGGGCTGGACGGTCCAGCCTTTGTCAGGGCTGAGAAGTGGGGGGCTCTAGGGGACTTGTTCAAGTGCTGAGCCCGCGTCGGGCAGAGGCTGGGCTTCCGCTTGCCGGTGGATCGCCCCCAGCTGGGGCTGTCGGGGCGGACACTGCCGTCCCCCCTCCTCCCGTCTCCCACCAAACCCACCCGCTCCCTACTCACGAGGACCAACATTCCAGGTGCCAGGGCCTCCTTGCCTCTCCTGGAATCCTGAAGCCTCGCCAATCTCGCCTGAAGATTGACTTGACTGAAATCTTCGCCCCCTCAGCCGGTCCCAGGCAGGGTCGGGAGCCCGCGGGCTTGTCCCACGGGGCGAGGAGGAGGCGGTTTGGGGTTTTGTTCTGTGAGTTGTGTGGTTTTTCCCTGGGCTGCTTCAAACCAGCTGTAGGGAACTAGCGAGTAAGTGAATCAAATCCAGATGTGGACTTCCCGGAGAGTGAATGGGGCTCTGCGGTTGAGTCCCGGCTGTGTCTGCCCTTCTCTGCCTCCCCAGGTTTCGGACTGCCGGCCGGGCTACCTGCCGCCCCCTCCTCCCTGGCCCGGGG